GATTAACTAACTCAAAACCGGCGTTCCTTTGCTTGCCTTTCCATTACATCCAGGACTTTTTTCTCGAGCGTCCTCTCTTCGAGATCCTGAATCCGCTTGATGCATTCGTCCATATCTCAGCCGCCCGGTGCTAACTGTGCTGTCTGAAAACGTTGCACAAACGGAATACCAGGCAATATTGGCCGAGAAGATCATGGACAAATGCGTGAAGCGGATTCAGGATCTTGGAAGAGAGGACGCTCGAGAAAAAAGTCCTGGATGTAATAGAAAAGCAAGCAAAGGAACGTCTGGTTTCTGTGGAGCTTCCGATGAAAGCACAAGAGGCTTTGATGGACAAAATATGCATAATTCGTTGCAAAATCGACAGCACCGACATCTGTAATAGTACTGACGTACGCACGATCAATGGCTCTAGTTATGTTTGCGTCGATCCCACTATTTGGAGCCGAATGCATATCAAAACAAGGGAGATGTCGAACAACGTAGAATTTGTTGACGACGCCACTAAAATCCTTGCCGAGGCACACTGCAAGTGCGGACAAACGATCGGCACCGTCATGAAATACGCTGGAATCTATCTGCCGACACTCAATATTGGGAATCTGATGTTCTCAGAACGAATCGAAGGTCAAGACGCTGCACCAGAAGCCATCACCAACTGGGCAAAAGCCAACGATCGGTTCTGGATTCCGGAAGCAACAGAAATTGCGTAAGATGTTGGTATCTCTGAACACAGAAAATAACGATGGCAAAATCGAACTTGCCGCGATGCGTGATAAAATCACAACAATTCAAGAGAAGATACTTAAAAGGAACACGAAAGAAAAGAAGAAATACGGCGAATCGAATCTGATGGGACATGCGAATATGGTATGAGGTAAATATGCTTAGCCTCATATTCCGATTGTTGCTCATCCACATCTCTTTTGTTCATTAATGTGAAATCTTCTTTTTCTGCCTTACAATTTGTATAAAATTAGATTGAACCAACTAATCACACTAATTCTAATTACGTCGACTGAAAAAGTGCTTGATAATAATTACATTTAATAAAGCATAATTTTGCTTAATAATAATTACATTTAATAAAGCATAATTTAAGAAGCAGTGCCATTGTTATTTTATAGCTGGAAGCAAATATCGGAAAAAACCACAACACCAATCGTAAACTGAGAAAAAAAACCGCCCATCGATGAAACAGAATCATGGACAAATTTGACCATCTCTCAAGGAGAAAACCAGAACCAAAAAAAAAAAAAACAAAAAAAAAAACCCCAACCAATCACAAATCTGACTCTCGCCCAACCCTGACCCTGGTATATAAGAGCTCGCCAGTCAGTGCAGGTCATATCGACGGCTCTCCCGCGGCGACCGACTCGACGCTTTCACCTACTTGCCTTCATGTCTTCATCAACATTCAACATCACTACCACAAAGCAAAAGTTAACAAGAAAACTTAACATCCTCCATGAACTCATAGAGGATGCATGCTTACAAGCCAGAACGGCTCTTTCCATCTGACAATTCTGCACTTAAACTGTTCGTCCTAACAAACAAAGATCTCAGCGTGGACAAACTTAGGCAGCAACTGGACGAACAAACTGAACAAACATGGACCCTCTAATGACTCTAAGGGCCTACACCACAGCTGAGCGGCAACAGAAGATAAAACCTGGAAAAGCTGCAAATGACTACGGGACTAAACAAGCAAGAAGATAGACTCTACTAAAAAAAAGAAACCTAATAAAAAATAATATTAAAAACAAAACACTAAAAAAAAAAAAAATTATATCCATTGCAACACTACTATCCCAACAACTCTACAAAAGACTAGTAGAACTAGAATGTCAAGCAGCCGCCTTCAATCTTTCCAACTCAACCAATCAAGGCAACGCTAACTCCACCGACAAAACCCAGGACTCCTCATTCAGCCATTAAATTCCTTAATGATTGATCAACGCCTATTTAGCGGCGATATAAAACTACCAGAATTCCATGGCAACCCATCGGAATTCGGTTCCTTCTGGGAACTCTTTGAAGAACTTGTTCACAAACAGCCCTTCTCCAACATAAGAAAGCTCTCCATTCTACTCAGTTGTTGCAAAAGGAGACGCAGCAAGATGCCTACGAATGATTCCTCGCACAGGGGACTCGTATGAAAAGGCAATCGAACAACTT